CACAATGAACATCCAATGGTCACTCGTAGTAAATGAGGGATCTTTAAACCGAAAGTGTTTATTGCTCAAACTCAAGGCAATGGTGAACAACCATGCTCTGTTTCCCAGGCACTTTAAGATCCACAATGGAGGGAAGCAATACTGGCTGACTATGATGCGTTGGTGAGGAATGATACTTGGACGCTGGAACCGTTACCGAAAGGGCGAGCAATAGTTGGTTGTAAATGGTTTTTCAAGGTCAAGTTCAATGCTGATGGGTCTGTGTTGAAGCATAAGGCTCGTCTTGTGCCTAGAGGTTACTCACAGGTACATGTCCATGATTTCAATGATACGTTTAGCCCGGTGGTGAAGACTACTATAGTAAATGATGTATTGTCTCTAGTTGTTGCTCGTGGTTGGAGTTTAAGGCAGGTGGACATTAATAATGTGTTCCTTAATGGCGACCTTGGAGAAGAGGTGTACATGGTGCAGCCACCAGGGTTTGCAGCCACCAGGGTTTGAACAAGTGGCTAGTGATGGGACTCGATCAGTTTGTAGGCTAAAGAATGCCTTGTATGGGCTGCGTCAAGCGCCGCGCATGTGGTATGCCAAGCTGCATAATTTCCTGTTGGAGCTAGGGTTCTGTGGTACAACGGCTGATGCGTCGTTGTTTGTTCACCGAGTAGGTGGCATTCGTATAATGGTTCTGGTGTATGTAGATGACATTATTATTACAGGAGAGTCTAATGCTGCTGTTAATGAGGTTGTTAGCTTACTTGGTAAAAATTCTCATTGAAAGATTTGGGAGAACTTGGGTGTTTTCTTGGTGTTGAAGTTCATAGGACACCTGAGCAGTTGCTGTTGAGTTAATGCAAGTTCATTTGAGGGTTGCTAGAACAGACTGGTATGCTTACTGCTAAGCATGTACCTACGCCAATGGTGGTTTCACCAAAATTGACTAGTGATGCTGGGAAGCCACTTTCAGATGTATGGATGTATCGAAGCATAGTTGGTTCCTTGTTATACTTGAGTCATACAAGGCCAGATATCGTGTTTAGTGTCAATCAAGTGGCTCAGTACATGCATCGTCCTTGTGATGGTCATTGGCTTGTTGTTAAGAGAATATTTCCTTACTTGAGTGGAACGGCTGACTGTGGCTTGGTGTTTAGGCGATCTTCTGCATTTTAAGTTTGTTGTGTGACTGCATTTGCGGATGCTGACTGGGCTAGTAACGTTGATGATCGTAGGTCAGTGTCTGGGTCGTGCGTGTTCCTTGGATGCAATTTAGTCTCGTGGAGTGCGAAGAGATAAAAGGTTATGGTTCGTTCAACAACAGAAGTTAAATATCGTAGTATTGCAGATACAATAGCTGAGGTGATTTGGGTTAAGTCTATGTTGGAAGACATGGGTTAAGCGATTGATACGGTTCTAGTTGTGTAGAGTGATAATACGAGCGCTATTGCCATGAGTGCTAATCCAGTATTTCATGCACGTTCGAAGCATATGGAGTTGGATATACACTTTGTGTGTGAGAAAGTAGAGGGTGGAGTAGTTCGAGTTAATTATGTACTAGCAGAGCATCAAGTTGCTGATGGGCTGACCAAACCCTTGGCTAAGTCTGCACACATGTTGTTTAGCCAGAAAGTTCAGGTAGCAGAAAACAGAAAAGCTGAAAAGGACGGGAAGAATGTTGAAGCATAGCTGTATGAGCTGCATGACTGTGTGTGTGTGTATTCAAGCAACAACAGATTGAATTATAGCTTAGCGTGTGCGTGCATGTAGAGCAGAGTAGGCATGCATGTAGAGCGGTTAATGTGTAGGTTGTTAGATTAGTTAAGGTTGTTAGAAGCTGTTATGAGGTTGTTAAGGTTGTAATCTTGTTGTATAAATGTACCGCATGTCTTGGTTAATGGATATCTTGATAAGCTTCTTGATAAGCTCTAAGGTTCTCTCGTAAGTTTCAACAAGGAGGGAGCCTGAGTCTATGGATAATTTTTTTCTTTCTTTCTCCGTAGACATTTGATTCGTAGTTTTGAGGTTGCATGGGCTACAAAGGGGGTGTTTCCTTGTCAAGTCGAGCTCTAGTGTATCATTCGTGCTCTGAAGGGTAAGTCCTTGCTTACCGTTATTATGAAATTGGCTTAGAAATCTTTCATCTACTTCATTTAGAGGGAGAGATGTTTCCGGATATTTCAAGGGAGATAGATTCAGGAGCAATATCTGATGAGAGCAATATCTGATGAGTTTTAAGAGACTATCGAATTTAGATTGTTGCACAAACATGTGAATAGGGATAGTTTTATTAAATTTAATCTTTTTTATTGGGTTGGGTGGTATAAATAGTTGTTTTTCACTCTAGAGAGTATGTTATTGGTTGAGTTGTACATTTGGTAGCAGCTTGCTGCTCTTCGAATAAATAGATACACATTTATCCAAATGATGAATAATAATAATAATAATAATAATAGCAAAAAAAAAAACTCTATCGAACTATACAAATATAATCTGTTTGCATATCCACGGAACAAACCACAGCCAGAAGATTATATTTTCTCGGATAAATCTCAAAATGAAGAACAGTTGGGATTTCATAGCCATTCATTTTACTTGCACTAACAGTTAATGATGTAAAGACAACAATCACGATAATAGCCCACTTAATACTCTTTCATTGTTTTATATTATATATTCAATAAGATTTCCCACGCCTTATATTGCATGTTAACGTCAAGTATTGAAACATGCAATGCTACACCGTTACTTTTGTCATTTAACTCTACTATATGATATATTTCCCAAAAAAATCATAACTTAAAAATTAATAAAATATTGTATTCAGCTTGTTCACTTGAAGTCAAGATTAAAAAATAAATAAAATATATTCAATTTGTTCACTTAAAGTCAAGATTATATTAGTATTTAGGTAAAATATTTTTCTTAGAAAATATCATGTAGTACACTTAAATAAAAAATAATATCAAATTATTATTTAATAATATATAAAAATTAATTGTTTTTATATACGTAATATTAAATTATGATTATCATCGAGATTGTATTAACATTTATCACGATTATGAATATTAGGAATGCTAACACAACGATTGTTGCAAACGTAACTTATTTTCAAAGATCACCATATTTTTTTCAAAAAAAAATATAATTTAATACTATAATTTTTATTTATAATAAGACTTAATACAAAAATAAGTACTTAAAGAATGTCTCGAAAAACGATTTTGTGCTAAAATAATTTTTCGTTAAAAATAAATGTTTAAAGTTTTCTTCATTACAGTTTTACATTGCCACCGTTAAAAATTATTGTTTTAAAGAATGTCTCGAAAAACGTTTTAATGTTAAAATAATTTTTCGTTAAAAATAAGTGTCTAAAGTTTTCTTCATTATAATTTTACGTGTCCACCATTAAAACTTACCGTTAAGTTTTAACAGATAGCACGTAAAACTGTAATTGAGAAAACTTTAAAAACCTATTTTTAACGAAAAATTCAGCACTAAAACGTTTTTGATTAAATAGTATAATTATGCTTGTAATTATAACAAATCTCATCCTCTTAAAAATTGAAGAATATAGTTAAGGAATTATAATCACATTTAATTAAACGCGACTCACGCATTATAATAATTCATCAATCACATCACAAATAATTAATTATATATAATTACTTTTAATTACATCTGAATTCAGTTAAATATTGTCATAACGTTTTTAAAACGAAAAATCGAATTTAAAACAATTATAATTTTATTTGGAAAAATTTAGGATTTTTTATAATTTTGATTTAATTTGAATTATAGTCGTCATCTACCTTTAAGTTTGGTAGGCCAAATACACAAAAAAATATCTTTTTAACCAATTTTAGAAAAATCGTTTAAAAGAAAAAAATTGTCATGCGTGTACAAAAGATTCGTTTTTAAGGATTAGGGAGTCGGTTACGCGTAGGGAAGAATAAGCACCCCCACAGCGCCTAGAATTGATAATCTCGATTATATGTTGTCTAAAATGGTAGAATCTCACAAATTTGAATCCAAAATTTAAGTTACGATCCATTTATTTCTATGAAATTTTGAAGAATGTGTGAATCTATTTTTTTTAAATATTTTACTCGATAAAAATGATTTAATTCACTTGAATTTATTTAAAAATGATGTTCCCTTTACTACGTAAATTAAGGGAAATTGAAATTCAGTCATATTTGATACAATTCCATTAGCCCACGATGCATGACAACAATGCCTTTAATTATTTCCGAAAATGAAAAAACAAATGCATTATTTATGAATGCGACAGTAATAAATGATATATACATGATAGATGTAATATTAAATATAATATGAAAATAAAATAAATAAAGTAATAAAATGACACACGAAATATTTATATTTATTAATCTAGAAATTAATGGTATGTCTTTCACTCGTACGTCTTAAGAAATCATACTCCAAGTATTGGAGGTTTTCGAACGGATCACTCTTCGTTCGAGGCATTCCACATAAAAATAAATATAATTTGATTTTTATTAAAATAGTTCTATTATAAAATTATAAATGTTTATAAAAAAAGAAATGAATATATATATATATATAAGGGTCAAAATATATTAGGCAAATGTATATAGATTAAAAATATAATGATGAAAAAAAGTGCACGGACTAAATGTAATATATATATATATATATAATTATAATATAAAATAAATATAAAAATAGACTAAAATGAAATAAATCTCAAATTCACAAACCAAGTCAAGCATTTAAACACGGCATGTAAACAATATGCATACGATGACTAAATGTGAGGATGGTGAAATTCGAAGTGCAAGAGTAGCAATTATCCCTATTTCATTTCAGGATCAAAATAGCAGGATACAAAGAGAAAGGGACTTAAACTGCCATTTACTCCAAAATAGAAAAAAGGGGCTGTGGTAGAGGGGGAAACGATGTCGTTTATCGGGTCGTATATAATCCTAAAATCAAGTCTTAAAATCAACCGAGCCTTTCATTTTGTATTTTTTTTTTGGTTTCTTAAGAGAGGGAGAGAAAAAGTTCACAAATTCTCTCTAGTTCCCCTCATCGGAGGCATGGCCACTGTTCACCGGTGCATAAGACCCTAAAATGCTCATTTCCACTTCCTCAACCTGAATCTATGGCTACCAGTGCATAAGACCCACCCTAGAAACTTAGATCTAACATTATACCTTTCGAAATCTATGAAATCCAGCCTCCCTTCGGCTTCCCAACGAACTCTGAATCAAGGTGAAAACTTTTCCTTTCCTTTACTCTCTTGTTTTTCTTTTTATTTTATTTTTTCAAATGGTATTCTCTTAGTTCTCCTTTTCATACCGGTCTCCAGTTGCATGTTTATATATTGATTTGGTGATATTTGGTGGAGTTATTGTCGAGGTTTATGATTTCCCTAGCACAAGCCTTCAACATCCCCAATTTTTTGGGATTCTTCTTTTATTTTAATAGGGTTTTGATTTTCTTCTATTGACTAATGTTAATTTATACTGTTGGTTGTCAGTGTTTTTTGATTTGGCTGGATTTATCGAGAACGAAGATAGTGACGGGAACATGTAGCGGTAGCAACGGTAGAGAGGGCTCTTCTTCTTTGCTGGCGGCGGTGGTGGCAGGTGGAGAGTGTCATCACTTGCGATTTTCAGCAAAGCCTAAAGTATTTTTGGTTAATTGGGCTCTGCTAGTTGGGCCTCTTTTTGGGTTGTATCGTTTGGGCCACCGGCCCGTTTGTAATTGCTTTTGGGCTGCCATGTTTGTAACCTGTTAACAAATAAATAAAAGTTAATAAATGTATTTTATTTTACTTAAATACATATTTATGATAATTATATATATTATATTAGTATTAACATAAATTTATGAACTTTTAATTAATCATAATTACTACCGACTTTCGTAACTATAATAACAAAATAATTATCGAATCTAAAAATATAAAATAATCTAATAATAGTAATAAAAATAGAAGAAAAAATCGAAGAAAATGTAGTGTCTACAATTGCCTCTCTTTGCCCATCGTCATATGACGGGAATAGGGAAAAGACAACAGACACTATTTTGTTCGGCCTTGATATTTATTATGAATCTGGAGTCCCTTATTCCAGGGTAAAGAATATAAAAAATACTCTGTTAGGTCGTTGATGACCTAATCTTTCATTTGATTATGTGTTTCCTTCGTGATAAGAACGTCTAGTCACATTTGAATGATTGTGTTTGTAGACAATGTGGTTTCTTCGTGTTGAGGAAGTGTAATTGTCTTTAAGTCATTTGTTTCAAAACTTCATGTTATCTCAAACGAGACTGAAAATGATCATTATCTCAATGGAGGTGACTTTTTTAAAATTGATTTGTTTCCTCGCGTTGAGGAATTATAATCGTTCTTTAATGATTTGACACTTCATTTGAGGATGTCGGGTTTGTTGACGACATTTTTCCTTCGTTATGAGGAGGCTAGTCACATTTAAATTGCTATGCATATGAAGACAACATTATTCCTTCGCGTTGAGGAAGTATGATTGTATAGTGATATTTGTTTTTGGAAGAGACACTACTCCATCGCGTTGAAAATATCTGGTCGATTTTGGATGATTTGCATAACATCAAATCTAATTATGACATTGCTCCTTCGTGTTGAGCAGGTCTAGTCAGTGGACGACATTGTTCCTACGTGATGAAAACGTCTAGTCCTATTTGGGAACTACATCTAAAGATAATTTAACTGAGGAAATCTGATTGATTGAAGATAATTTAACTGAGAAAATTACGCTCCTCCTCCGTGTTGAAGAGAATTGGTCGCTTTAAGGTAACTTGCTTGATGAAGACGACATTACTCCTTCATATTGAGAAGATCTGGTTGTCATAATTTTCCTGAAAGATTTGAAAAAAATACAACTATTAATGCAACTATCTTGAATGTTTTTATGGTTGTCAATATGAACTTAATATGATGTTTTAAGCTTTTTGAAAACGAGCTTTCGAATTTTCCCTCGTGAGAGGAGGAAATAGTCTTACAATAGACAAATTTCAAGAGAAATTTTGAAGGCATCCTCATGAGTGTGAAATCAAAGTTTAATATGTTGCATGTGATAATGAATGTTTGATGCAAAGATGCAAATTCATATAACATGTATGTCTTTGTGAATTTATGTTTTCTTGATCCGCGGCCAGGAATGATTGCACGAGCAGTCTTCATTTTCTTCCCGGTTCGGTTGTCTTTCATTCTTTGTCACACCAGAATGTAACCTTGTAATTATTGACTTGTGACAGCTTGTTCTGCTTACCCCAACAAATATTTCCCCTAAAAAAATTATTTCTTACCCTTGTTTTGATCATGAGCTTCTATGTTGGAGTGACACTTTTCAATTTTCAAGGTTTGCTCCCTAGTGAGAATGCCTTGTCTAAAAACAATTTCTTCATTTTTTTCATTTTCAAAAGTTGAAAATGACTAATGAAAAAGTTTTAAAAAAATGTTTCATAAAAGAATTTTTGTAAAATATTTGATGAAAGAATTTTGATAAATGGTTTCCCCTTATTTTAGGGTTCAAAATTAAGACAAATTATAAAATAAGAGTTCATTAGATATCAAAAGAATCAACTACGCTTTTAATATTCCGAGGTTATGACTCTTTAACAAGTGTCAAGATTTTTTGGGTTGATTTTAGGTTGGTTTCCTTAATTTTCTATGGTTTGTGTCATTTAGTTGTCATTCTCTTTTCTGTCTATGTGAACATTGTGGCATACTCCTCATTCTCGGCTTGACATGTTAATCGGATGCAGAAAAATGACGCAACTAGCATACTCAATTGCTAGACCTTTTAGAACACTCTTATTTCGATTCTATGAAATATTTCATTTGTTCAAGTTTCATAAACTCCTTTAGTATAAGCAGTGCTGAGATATCGCTCTAAAGATAAAACTCCTGAGTGCTTGTGTGAGGTTAACTATAACAAGTGTTCCTCAAGTCCCTTAGTCCATCATCCACCGACACTCCTTAATCTAATACTTAGGCATTACCTCCTTTATTGAATTACCTAAACTTTCTTTTTCATTCATTCATCATTTTTTCATTTTTTTGGTGAATTCATCTCGTCACAATTAATGTCACAGTTTGAATATAACCACTTCAAAAAGCTTAGACTTATCTCAATAGCTGTTTGAAATTAACTTCAAGTTATCAACTTAATACTTTCAGCGGAGTGGCCTCATTTTATTACACTCACCTATCATTATTTATTAACCTTTTGAGTCTTCGACTTCAAGATTTCTTAAGCCTGTTGAGAATAACCTGTTATAGTATGGGTGTCGCTGAAGGTCAGAAAACTTCATCTTTAGAGTTTGCTTCCCAAGCAACTGACCTAAACTAAGTTCATCTATGTCACGATTTCATTTGAGAAGATTATGGTCATCATTGAACGTCCCCACTAGAAGTATGGTCTAGTTAGTTCTGTAATTTCATATGCAAGATGCTCCAGTTTTTCCTATCCTATACATACCTGAATGTCAAGCCCTTTGATCATCTCTTCATGGGAGGAAAAGACTGGCTTGGTCCCTGCAAGAGAAGGGTATGATGTTTGGGTGTATCTTTTACAGTAGGATCAAGGGTGCTTGTTTTACAAGGGTTCAATCTTGTCACTTACCCAAAGGCCATAACCCTAATTCTCAAGAGAGCTTTTAATTCAAATGATATTTAAGAATTTCAAGATTAAAATTTGTTATTGCTCTTAACCTCAAAAAGGTAACATTTTGTTTAATATGTTCGAATGTCAAGGGACTTACAAACATTTAAACTTAAAAATAAATGAAGAAAACAAGTTCAAACAAGATGAAATGTTTTTCATACAAGTGCAACAAAGCTTTATGGTGGATGCAAAAACTTCTTCTTGATTTGCATCAGAATGCTTCATTATTCATCGAATGTCCACGCCTCTGAATCAATCAAATTCTGGACCTTTCGCTTTAATGCCCCATAATTCTTAATGATGTACCCTGAGCTTCCTATGTGATAGCTACATGTGGCGTTAACAATGTAGCCTTCAGGATATGATGACTTTTTTGGTTTGGATTGGACTAGAGTCACCAGGTTCCTCTCAACTCGTGTTGAAAGTAATTCCTCATAGGTCATATGAATTGTATCATTGTGAGTCTTTTCTCGAACCATCTTATGAGACTTGTCCATGTGACTAGCTGAATAGGCTCCCACCATACTGAGTTCAACTTTTTCCTCGATGTCAGCACCTACTGGTGCCCCATATCTTGTCATTCTTATCAGTTCTTTTAATCATCTCTCCACATGTGATGATGTTAGAAAAATTCTTACCAGCCACTCCTAACATGTAGTTAATGTATGGAGGCTTTAGTGTGTCGATTAACATGGTGATGAACTCCTTTTTGGTCATCAGTGTATGCACTTGAGAAGCTATGTTCCTCCATCGTTGTGCATATTGGCAGAAGCTCTCATTACACTTCATCTTCATATAGTGTTGTTCAATCAGGGGTCATATATGACATGTGTTTGTATTGACTCAAAAATACATGTGTCACATCCTTCCATGAGCGAATCTGAGCATGATTTAGCTTATTGTATCACTTAAAAGCGAGTCTAATCAAACTGTCTTGAAAATAATATATTAGCATTTGATCATTACTAGTGTATCCAATCATCATTCCAATAAATATTGTGAGATGGGCAGAAAGACAACTAGTTCCATCATATTTTTCGATATCAGGCATTCTGAATTTATGCAAGAACATCATGTTGGGAACCAAGGCCAACTCACTTGTGTCTATTTCCTCTTGGGAGCTATGTTCTTTCAATATTTGAAGTAGTCTTTGCACCATTCGTTTAAGTTCTAAGAGATCTCATTCTTAGTTCTTTTTATTTTATCATAATTGATCTTGTTGTAATTAGTGGGGTCGCTTTTGAGTCCTAGGGACAGAGAAACTTGCTAGGTGGTTTTGAAGCCTCTCCGGTGAGAGCTGAGGAATAGCATGCGTTGTCACACACTAAGTTTTTTTCACAATCAGGGAAATATTCTCCTTTCCTTTTTTCCTTGTTGAGCCCAACCAATTTCTCAACAATCTGGTCGACCATGCTGGCATGATTTTGCATGATGCAATCCATACCAGTCTTTTGTGATTGTTCCAATTTGACTTCTTAGGTTGTTTGCATTTTCTATAAATTTTCTTGTTGCTATTTCTTTAGTTGCTCAAATTTTTCTTCCATTTTTAGTACTTCTTCATGTGATTAAGGCCACTGTCATGGAATCCTCCATGAATTAAACTCATGTTTTTAGGATTGATGCATGTGAAAAATGCTTAAATAAATTCAATGCAAATGCAAAATACAAAGATGTATATGTGAATGTAGTGCAAAATGTATTGATCCCAAATATTAAATACCATAAAACAAGTTTCATTAGAGAAAAAAGTCTTCATTTTTACAAGATGGTCTATTTTACATATATGTTTTGGCTTGGTTGCCCGATCTGAAGTGGGTCAGAGTTTCAGCTCAGATCTTCATACTTGAAAATTATGCCCCTTAAACGCTCTACAACCTCCTAGACTAGTATAAAAGCTCTATCCAAAATGTGCCCCATCTCAGATGATGCGCATGCGATATTGGAGTTGTGCATTACGCCTTGATGATTAAAGGTGAAATAATTGTAAGCAAGGTTTTGTAAATGCATCGTTGCTCGAAGTGATCACCTCTCAAATCTTGGATGTCATTATATTGATAAGTATTGATGTATGATTGTAACATCCCAAACTATGGGTTAGTTACTAAATGGTAAAGTTGCAGAAA